GACAGGTCCTTGGCTTCCCGCTTGTCCCTGCACGTACACACACACACACACACAGAGCGAAAGCACCAACCGTTGCGAAGACCACATCAAGATCATCAGAAGCATGGCGCGCACTCGCTCAAGTACCATGCACCAAGCAGCACCAAGCAGCACCAAGCAGCAACTTGCCAAACAGTCCAGGCAGACCACAACGTACCATGAATAGACCTTGTGTTGAGGCTCACCAGCGTCACCACTGGCGCCCATGCGCCCAAAGACACAACCCATGATGCTGCGCTGCTGCGATGATGGTCACGAGTGATGCGAGGTGGGTGGGTGGGTGTTGTCTTGTTGGTGGTGGTCCGTTTTTCTTCTTCTCGCCGCCTTCTGCTTTGCTTTGTGCTTTGCTGCTTGTGTGAAATTTTCGCCAAAGGCAACTTTGCCTTTGTTGCACAGCAAAGGCAATTTCGACTTAGGGGCGCTTCTGTTGCCAACCACCAAGACACCAGCAGCACACACACACACACACACACACACACACACACACACACACACACACGATAGTGATGGGGAAGAAGGGCAAGGAGAGCACGGAGCCACAGGTGTGGAGCAGGGGATGCTTGCTGAGCGCCTTGTCTTTGCCGTGTGAGCTGCTGTCGTGGGAGTCTAGTGTACGTGTTAAAACGGGCTGCAACCTCTTGTGTCACAGTCGTCACTGGATGTGCGCTCACGTCCCAACACACACACACACACACACACACACACACACACACACACACACACACACACACACACACACACATCCACACACACACACGCACGCACATACCCGGCACGCACATGCACACACACACATATCCACACTGTACAGCGGACAAGAACAAAGAGCATGTGGCATCGCTGGGTGCACTTCCAGTGCTGTTGCAGCTAGTCAAGCACGAGGAAGAAGAGATGCGAAACAGAGCCACCATGTGCCTGTCAACACTCACAAAAGACTACGCCGTAAGGCTGCAGTGCAAAGGGGACATCAACGACACCCTGCTTCCAGACCTCCTACCAATGTTGGCACCGCCAACGTCGCCTGTCGGGCAAGAAAATGCCGCGTAAGTTGTGAACGAGCCCGACTTTGTGTGTGGAGGAAATGGAGTGTTTGTGAGCTGAGGGACGGGTGCATTCACTCACACGTGCACACACAGGTGCCCGTGCATGCCCTTCGCGGGCGTTGTGTGTGCGTGCGTTTGCATGCATACGTATGTGCGCGTGTATGCATTGTTCTACACATCAACCTTGCCGGATCAGCCGCGTTTAGTGTGTCCAACTCTCACAGAACAATGCTTCCCTCCACTTGCGCTGCGTCGATGCGTTGATTCAGGTCCATCATCGCCAATTTGAGCACAGAGTTCAGCGTGCGCAAGCAGCTGCTGGCACAGGACGTGGTGACGCCGCTTGTCGCCCTGCTCTCATCCTCACAGCCCGATATCATCCGCAACGCACTGCAAGCGCTGCTGATGCTGTGCGAGGACTACGAGGGCCGTGCACAGATGATGGCAGCAGAGCCTGCACAGCCGCTGCTGGCGCTGCTTGACTCTGATTTTCGCGCCATCCAGGAACTCGCCCTCAATGTCGTGGCAAAGGTGTCCCGGAACCAGACCTGCAGGCAAACCCTCTGTACGTCGTCGTCACTGTCGTCATAGTCACTGTCGTCGTTGTGTAATCGTTGTTGTTTGCTGGTGGCGGTGGTGGTGGTCGTGAGATGAGGCGTTCCTCCTTTGTGTCAGGGATTCCACTTGTTTGTTCACACACACACACACACACACACACACACACACACACACACACATATATATATATATATATATATATATATACACACGTGTACACTGCGTGCAGATGAAGCTGGGGTGCTGGAGCGGATTATTGGGTTTGTGACCAACCCCGAGTACAGTAAGTCGTATGTGGTTGCGCTCGATGCGCTATCGACGATGCTGTACGAACCACCGGCACTGGAGCGCGTGGGCGCCATCCCAGACAACGGCTCGCAGGCCGACGCGCCGCTGGTGAAGGTGCTGCAGCTGCTGACGCACGAGGACGTGGAGGTGAAGGTGCGGGCAATGGAGTGTGTGCGCACGGCAGCGCACGACAACGACAACCGCCGCATTCTTCGCGACTTCAAAACAGAGGCCGCCGTCGGTACGTTGCGTGTGTTTGTTTCTGTGTTTGTGTTTGCTGTTTCTTTGTTTGTGTTTGCTCTGTGCTTGTGTTTGCTGTTTGTTTATTTTTGTGTGTGTGTGTGTGTGTGTGTTTGCTCTGTGCTTGTGTTTGCTGTTTGTTTATTTTTGCGTGCGTGTGTGCGTGTTTGCTGCGTGTGTGTGTGTGTGTGCGTGTGTGTTTGCGGATTGCCTGCCCTTTTGATGTGTTGCGTCCCTCACACCACCGCCACCGCCATGACCACCACCATGGTCGCAGCTGGGCAGCTCCTGCCGGATGATCCAAAACAGCCCATCAACGCGGCCGTGTCCTGCGCCGCCTGTAACGCCCTCTCCGCTCTCGCAATCGCAAAAGTAATTCACACATGCACAGGCGTGTTTTTGTTGTGTGTGTGCTTGAGTGCGTGCGTGTGTGAGTGAGTGAGTGTGTTTGTGTGTGCACTGTGTGTGCACTGTGTGTGATTCCGTCTCGTTGACACGAAGCGCCCGCATTGGTCCAGATGTTTGCCCATCTATCCATACGCACACGCTCTCTCACCACCACTGCAAGCACAGCCACAACCACACTGTCTCACCATCGCTGTCACTGTCACTACGTCTGCGTGCAGTCGAGTGCTGCTGCCGTGCTGACGGCGGGTTCGCTGCCAAAGCTCGTGCGATTGCTGACGTGTGAGCACGAGTCGTGCGTGCAGGCAGCGGCACAGACCCTGGCTGTCCTCGTCTCAAAGTCAACGCCAAACAGACTGGTATGTAGTCCACACATGTGCGCGTGTGCATACGACCGTGCACTGTGCTGTGCCGTGTGTGCTCGTGTGTGCATGTATGTGTCGTGTATGTGCGCGTGCGTGTGCGTGTATGTGTCGTGCGTGTGCGTGTGCGTGTGTGTGTGTGTGCGTGCCATGCTTGATTTCATACCTTATACTCATTGTCATCGCTTACGCCTCCTGTCACCACTGCGCAGCAAGTGTTTGAGGCTGGCGTGTACCCCGGCCTGCTGGAAATCCTCAAAGCAACTGCTGTGCAGCGGCTGCCAACGCAGGTGTGCCTCAGTGCATGTGTGGAGTATTATTGACTGGCGGTGTTGTCTATGTCATGTGCACTGCACGAACATGAAATCAGGACTTTACAGTGTTTTCACAACAACAACAACAACAACAACAACAACAACTTAAACAACAACAACAACTTAAACAACAACAACTACAACAACTTAAACAACAACAACTTAAACAACAACAACAACAACTTAAACAACAACAACAACAACAACAACAACAACAACTTAAACAACAACAACAACAACTTAAACAACAACACCACCAACAACAACAACAACTTAAACAACAACAACAACAACTTAAACAACAACTTAAACAACAACAACACACAACACACACAACACACAACAACAACAACACACACACCCTGCACTAATGACCTCCACCATGTCACCTTCGTTCTCTCTTCATTCTGCAGGCCCACGCGGCATCGTGCGTCGCGTCGTTTGCACAGGAGCCGCAGCTGAGAGCAGTACGTATGCTCGCACCTGTTGTGTGCAGTGCACCATGGTGCGCGTGTGCGTGTGTGTGCACCTGCATGTACAATGCTGTTGTGCCCTGTTCCCTTCGTATATCCTCGCCGTTCGTTTGCTTCCTTGATTACCTCTCCTCAACCCTCCTTGCACCTCGCTTCACTCACCCCCACTTCATCCACACCACCCACACCATCCACACCACCCACCCTTCCCTCATCTTCCCTCATCTTCCCTCATCGTCCCGGCAGTCCATGGCCACGGTCTCTCCAATTGCTCCGCTGGTCCAGCTGCTGAACAGGGGCGCGCACACGGCTGCGCTGCAGGAGAAATGCCTTGATGCCCTCACCGCTCTCGCCGGCGACGCAGCATACAGACGCGAGGTGCCCTGCTGTGCAAACCTCTGTGTGTGTGTGTGTGCATGTGTGTGTGTGCGTGTGTGTGTGTGTGCGTGTATGAGTGTGTGTGTGTTTGTGTGTGTATGTGTGTGTATGTGTGTGTGTGTGTGCGTGTGTGAACGTGTATGCGTGCACTTATGATTTTATGTGTGCGTGTGGCGTGTGAACGTGTGTGCGTGCACTTGTGCTTTCATGTATGCATTTGTTGTGCATGCATGTTGATGCACCCACGCTCGCTCGCTGGTTTGCTGTTGTGCTCACAATGTGCCGCGTGCTATGTTGGTCCAGCTGTCCACGTGCGATCCGTATCCGCGAATTGTGGAAAACATCTCCAGTGCCGACCAGCACGTCGGCCTCGCAGCAGCGCGCATCGTCCACCAACGTCAGCCAATACGAGCACATGCACACACGCACAAGACGACTGCTTGCGTTACAAGCAAGCTTGCTTCTCTCTCTCACACAGGCACGCACACTGTGATTCACTCGTTTCATTGTGCTCCTGCATTGCGATGTACGCGTATTTGCGTGCGTTTGTGTTCCTGTGTGTATGTAACCTTTTTTTTTTTTGCAGTTTGCGAGGATCCTGCCAGCGCCGCTGAGCTCATCCATGAAGGGTAAACGCTGGCACACTGCTCTGTTACCGACCCTTTCACGCTCGCTTACGCATCTTGCTGTGGTCATTGCACGTGTTGGTCCTCCGTTCATGTTGACAGCGCTTTCCTTACACATGCACGTTGAATTCATGTCACATCATGTGTGTGTGTGTGTGTGACTGTTTGTAGGGCGCTCGGGGCGCTTCAGCGGGTTGCGGCCTCTCGCAGTCACACGAGCGACACAATCCAAGCAGCCATGCACGCGGTACGTGTTGAGGGGGGGGGGGGGTGTTGTCGATGTACCCCACTCTTCACTGCGCGCATCGTCATGTCTGACACGCTCGAGCACCGCCTCATGCACGTCCTCACCATCCTCCTCTCTCTCCCCGTTGCCCTTCGCAACTTGCGCAGCTGCTGTGCAACCATCTCTCGGCCAAGTTTGCGCTGACAAACGAACTCTCCGCCTCCGATAAAGTCAAGCAAATCTTCTTCGATGTCGGACAGGTGTGCGTTTGTTGGTGTGTTGGTGTGTGCGTGTGTGTGTGTGTGTGTGTGTGTGCGGTTTTGGCGACTTGGACGGTTGAGCAAGACCCGTGCGTGATCTTTGTTGCGAATTCATGATGCACGTGCTCAACAACAACAACAACAACAACAACAACAACAACAACAACAACAACAACAACAACAACAACAACAACAACAACAACAACAACAACAACAACAACAACAACAACAACAACAACAACAACAACAACAACAACAACAACAACAACAACAACAACAACAACAACAACAACAACAGCAAACGACCATAGACGACGACAGATGCAGCAACCGCGCCGGTGCCTCTCCTCAGGGATTTGCTCAAGGAGCCTCGTTCAAACGGCCGGCCCGTTCTCTTCATC